TATATATATATATATATATTTAAAGTAAAGGACAAAAAAATGTAACTGATTTAAACCAACAACAGGTGTGAAGTGCCTAGCACTTGCAAGGATAGAACCAACATTTTAGACCTGGTTCCTGCCTTCAGGGAGCTCAGCTTGTCCTTGGGCAGTGGCCACAGGAACAGTGAGTCCTGGGAAGAGGATACTGTGAACAAAGAGGGTTTAAATTCTGTAAAGTTCAGAGAAGAAGAGTGATGAGGTCAGAAGGGGCGCATGAGCCACTTGCTGCAGAGCTTCCAAAATGTCACAGAATGTGGCTTCATCCTAACAGCAAGGGGAAAGGACTGAAGGGTTTTATGCAAGGGGCGGGCATTGTCAGCTTGGGTTTTGAGAGGACTTCTCTCAGCACCAGGGTGGAGTGCTTGCCCTGGGAGTGGAGCTCCGCCATGTTTGCAGAATGAATGATGGCTGCAGTGTCCAAAACAGATGGACGGGAAGGGGGCATAGAGTGGATGCTGGGAGGCTGGCAAGGAGGCCATTTCCCTGATCCACATGAGGGAGGATGTGACTTGGCCACATCTCAAGAGGGATGAGTTGGATAGAGTGTGTTCGAGAGTTACATGGGACACAAAGGTCATTGGGCATGATAGCAAGGAAGAGAGAGGGAAGAGTCAAGAATAACACCTCCCTCTGGCACGCAGGACAGACCGTGGCACCATCCCAAGCCAGGAAAGAGATGGGCTGACCAGATATACGGTCAAGAGCTATGTCTTGGACATGTTGAGTTTGAGGTGCCTTTGAAGCCTCTAAGGAGTCAAGTTAAATAGTGGGCTATAAGAGGCTGGAGTTCAAAGGAGAAGCCTGGGGATGGACAGTGGTCAGGGAGCTATAGAAGCATGGGTGGGAAATGTGACAGACACTAGGGAAGAGGTGAGCTTGGAACCTGGAAGAACCCTCACCAGCCATGACAGAGGAGGCGCAGCTGCCAAGGGACAGAGGAAAACTGACCCACAATAGGTCAAAAACCAGAGAGCTTTATTAGGAAACCAAGGGAAGACTGTTTCAAGATAAAGGGAGACACACAAGTGACAGCTGAGAGGCCAAATGGGAAGTGGGGTTTGGTGACACAGAGGTCACTTATGCCCCTTGGAGATACAGCAGTGACGTCATAGAAGGGTGTGAGGTGTAAACGGCGAACGTTTAAATTGTCCATCCCCTGTCCCTCTGCTGCCTGGTAAATGTTACTGCCTCTTCTCCTCAGCCCCCATGAGTCTCCTCCCTCCGCCCGCACTCATCAAAAATGAATGCACTGACTTCTGATCACTCTCGCACGCCTCTAAACACGGGCAAATCAAATGTGATTTGTGAGCTGGCACCAGCTCCCAGGATGCCACAGAGAGAAATGAGCACCTGCCTCCACATTGCTAGTCCGTATCGTCCCGAACCAAAGAGGTGCCCGCAGCAGGTAGGAGACTGCATATTTGCAATTCTGGCTTAACCTGTCAGCCACAGAGTGACTCTCTGGGTGGCTGGGGTTTTTTTAAAAGACAAGAAGAAAATAATTTGTTTTCGAGCATCAGCAGCCTGCCATTTTGTTCCTTTGGCTCATGCAACCAAAGAATTAAATGCAAAACTACAGATGGGAGCTGGGCCTGTGCCCTTCACAGATGTCAAGCCTGTGCAGCTGAGAGCCGTGTTTCAAAAAGCATCAAGACCTCCGTTAACCAGAATTGGTGGTGGGGGCAGATATTACTCTCCTATTTTATCAGCGTTCAAAAATTTCTTTTTAAAAATATCTGTCTAGGGCTGGGGATGTGGCTCAAGCGGTAACGCACTCACCTGGCATGCGCAGGGCACTGGGTTCGATCCTCAGCACCACATAAAAATAAAATAAAGATGTTGTGTCCGCCGAAAACTGAAAAATAAATATTAAATAAATTCTCTCTCT